GACACAGAGAGACGTCTTCAGACAGGGACACAGAGAGACGTCTTCAGACAGAGACACAGAGGGACGTCTTCAGACAGAGACACAGAGGGACGCCTTCAGACAGAGACACAGAGAAACGTCTTCAGACAGAGACACAGAGAGACGTCTTCAGACAGAGACACAGAGAGACGTCTTCAGACAGAAACACAGAGGGACATCTTCAGACAGAAACACAGAGGGACATCTTCAGACAGAGACAGAGAGACGTCTTCAGACAGAGACATCTTCAGACAGAGACAAAGAGGGACATCTTCAGACAGAGTTGTATTTAGGGTCCAATGTCTTTTTAGTATTTTCCTTAAACTTAAATCAATTCTTGTGTCCACTGTTTGACAAACTCGTCCCACCTGGTAGGCCATGGGGGAGGGGGTGGGGTGGTAGCTGGCAGGTGAGTGTGTGTTCTGGAAGCCCACAGGTGAGGGCGCCACCTGGTGGTAGCTCTGAGGACTGGGACTGGGCTGGTAGGAGCCCTGTGGAGACGGAGCAGCATACGGAGAGTACCTGCAGAGACCAGAGTTCTGTCAGATCACAGGTTCTGCTCACACGGCTTCAAAAACTCAGCCCGGGTCTGGGTCCAGGTCCAGTCTGCAGTACTCACATAGCAGGCGTGCCCGGAGTCTGAGGGTTAAACTGAGGGTTGACCTGCGGCGAGGGGACTTCAGGGTAACCTGGGGTCTGGGGATTAGGGGTACCCCCGTAGCCCTGAGGGGACGGAGACGGCTCGTCGTCGAAGCCGAAGTCGTACTCCTCGTCGTTCCTGCAGGAGACAGAAACGTCTCAGGGACGAACAGAACCACGACATGTTTGCTTCGACAAACTGCTGTTCGTGTTTGGGTCACCTGGACGGTGTGTTGGGGTTGCTGGGGTCCCAGGCGCCGCTCTGGCCCGGTGTTCTGCTCCCATCATGCAGCGGGGTCTGAGAACCATAATGAGGCGTTCGGCTTCCTGTTGGGCAGCAGAAAAGGCGACAGTTGGTCGGATGATGAATCTAATACAGATTAAATATTTCAGTTTTTATGCTAAAAAAAATTAAGATTATCTCACAACTTCTAAAAACAAATGTTTTTTAATGATATCTGTGAGACAATTTTCTCAAAGTTTAGCTTCTCCCACGTTCTTAAACGCATCACAGTGCACCACTTTCTCATCCAGAAAACTGATTTTTTTTATTGTTGAGAAAAATGGACAAAAACTCCACCCTGCTTCCACCTGAAGAGTTAAGTACCGTACATTTAGGGGTGTAGTCTCTGTTGTTGCCGGTGGTTTAGACATTCATGGATGTATATTGTTATTTTGAGGGAAGAATAAAGTTAGTTATATAAGCTGCACATTGACTACTTTACATTGTGTCAGTGTCATTTTGTCAGTGTTGTCCCGTGAAGATATACTTAAATATCTGCAGGAACGTGAGGGGCGTACTCACCTTTGTGATACACTCTACATCGATAATAAAACAATAAAACAAATAGATTTGGTAATTTTGACTCTGTTTTCTGGTTGAAACTCCACTCCACTTACCGTCGTGGAGCGGCGTTTGGGATCCATAGATGGGGGTCCTGGAGCCGGCGCCGTACATGGGGGTCTGGGAACCAAACATAGGGGTGCATCCATGAGCGGACGTGGCTCCTGTGCGTCTCTTGGCTCCCCTGGTTGAAAAAAAAATTTAAGTTTTAGACGAGAACAACGTTAACAAAACAAACGATTTGAAAACGAGGACTGAAAATAACCAGAAGTTTGAGTTTTTTTTGTTTTTCAGGTCAGGTATAACCTGGAGCAGGTGAGATGAGGTCACCACCCAGCTGACCGCAGAGTTTATCAGGATGCAACAACTTTAAATATTTTAACTTTACATATGGTTAGATAAACTGCAAACTGCTGCTTGAACGCTGAAAGTTGAAAAACAAAGCAACTGGACATTTATTTTGTAGAAGACGACGTTTCACTTCCTGTTTCCTGCAGCAGAGCAGAAGTTAGTTGACTTGTTTTTCAACTTTTAGTATTTTCTGCTGAACCGGAACATCAAAAACAAACTCCATCTTCTTTAAGAATCGTCTGAATTTACTCCTGAAGGTTCAGCAAACTGACACTGACCCGAGTGTTTAAATCTCTAAATAAACCTTTTTTAATTTAAAATGTATCATCAACAAGCTAAAGTTTGATTAATGTAACCTAATTATTATGAAATATTTGTATTTATGGAACTGTTCCCGTCATCTGCCCTCAGTGTTGTGAAGCAGCAACGCCTCTGACGGATGTTTGTAATTTAGCTGCCGAGGTTCACGGGAGCTGCAGGACCAGCAGGACCAGCAGGACCAGCAGGACCAGCAGGACTAGCAGGACTAGCAGGACTAGCAGGACTAGCAGGACCAGCAGGACTAGCAGGACTAGCAGGACCAGCAGGACTAGCAGGACTAGCAGGACGTACGTGGTGGTCAACCTCTGCCTGTCCACAGAGATGGTCTGACAGGTGGAGTGCAGCTCCACCCGGGCCGTGGACTCCGTCGCGTCCTTCACCACGCCGATGTATCCTGGGAAACGGAGGCAGACCAGTCAGAAACCAGAACACTTCGTGTTGGGGCCATTCAAAGCAAACTTTATTGATACGGCAGGTCTGACCTTTGTAAGGACCCTGGGAGATGCGGACCGTCTGACCGATCAGATCGTTGTCCCTCCGTCCTCGACCCCGCCCAAAACCACCGCCACCTCCTCCTCCTCCTCCTCCTCCAGCTCCTCCTCCTCTCTGTTGAGCACCTGTGGGGGCGACAGCCTCACCTTCATCAGCTCGTCTTTAATTATTCTAAAACTAAACAACCATGTGACTGTACAAATAACAAGAAGAACCTCAGACTGGAAACAAAAAGTTTACTTTAAAAACGTTTGTTTGATTTCTGAACGTTTTATTTTAAAATATTTTTATTTCCTGTTTTCCTGGAAGTTGTGACCCATGTCCTCTTCACGGAGACGTGAAGTTTTGTTTGTTTGTTTACACAGTTTCTGCTCTTCATCAGCTGTAAACACGTGGGTGCTCCTACCTCCCCCCCCATGGTGCACGGGGCTGCTGATCCGAGGGCTCATCGGCGCGAACCCCCCCACTGTGAAGTTGGTCACGTCTCTGGGCTGACAACAGAAAACACATCAGGGCGTAAAAATCTCTCTCCAGCTCCTTTAACCCACACCACCCTGGACCGCTTACCTTGGACCCCCCAGCCAGAACCAGGTGTCTGGTCTTGCAGACGAACATTCCTCCGTTCTCCACCAGCTTCTTGCAGTGAAGGAAGGCGAAGCCTCTGAACAGGTGACGGATCTCACCCTCGCGGCCCTGCAGGAGCAACACATGCACCCTGAGAGGAGCGACGACAGACGCCGAGTCACTCTGAGTTACGCCGAGTCAACAGACTCCCTCAACATACGCCGGAGTGAGTCGGCGTGTGTGAAGCGAACCCCCCAGGTCTTTCAGAACAAACTGTTTGGAGGTTCTGCAGGACCAACAGCACGTTGCAGCCCCCCCACGACTTTATGATGTCACATAGATGAACTCGTCCTCACCGAGTGCGGCCCGTCGATGACCTTTACGATGTCTTTGACGTGGATGTTGTTCTGCTCCGAGTCCAGCGCCACGGCGAAGCGGTTGTCTTTCCTGCGGTTGACCGCCTGGTGGCGCACGGTCAGAACCTTCCCGTGCATGTTCAGAACCTGGAACACCCGACACGTCACTGTAACCCAACAAGCTGCTGCCTGCGCTCCTCTGTCAGCTCAGGGCCAGACTAATACCTGGAACGTCTCTCTCTCCAGGCGAACGATGACTCCCACCGTCTGGGGGTCCAGCTGGACCAGCTCCCCCCACTCGTGCTGCCCCCCCACGTCCACGCCGGACGCCGTCTCAGAGCAAAGCTGCAGGTCTCTGGGTAATACTTTCAGCTGCAGGGCAACACAGGAGACATCAGGACACAGGAGACATCAGGACACAGGAGACATCAAGACACAGGAGACATCAAGACACAGGGACACAGGAGACATCAGGACACAGGAGACATCAGGACACAGGGACACATTGTGACAGAGACAGAGCAACCAGGAGCATGTGGACGGAGCAGCACCTCGTGCATGGTGAGGTCCGAGAACAGGATGACAAAGTTCTCCTCCACTCTGACGATGAGGCCGGTGTCTCCTTCGTACCGCCCAGCGATCACCTTCACGTGGTCGCCCATCCGAAAATACTTCCTCAACTCGTGGGCCGGAAACTCCAGAGGGTCCTGCAGAGACCACAGAGACAGCTGAAGACACGGGACAGAACCTGTGGGTCCAGTCGTAACGCACTGTGTGTGTGTGTGTGTGGACACCTTCAGGTCTTCATGTTTGGGCATGATGGTGATCTTGTTGCCGTCCACACTCAGGATTTTTCCTTGCAGGTTGATCAACTCTCCTTCACACACCTCCACGTTGTCCCCGGCCTGCAGGTTGTGTTCACGCTCCTTACCTGTGCGCGAACACACACACAGAAGTATTTCACAGCGTTCATATCATAACCGCACATGACTTTCAAGTCCCTCGTTCATGGCATTAATTTACTTTGACATCCATAATTTATTTTGATGGCTCTGTAATTTAACTCGGCGTGACCAAAAACCTGCAATTTGATACAAAAACTGACAAATGTGAACAATTCAATCTAAAGTCGGGTCAAAATTAAAATGAAGCGAATCACTTCAGACGGCGTCCATCTTGAAATATGGAGGTTGTTTTTCCGTGTGGATGCTGTGGTTTTCGGACAGGTCCAGATTTTGTGCCATGTTTCATGCTGGCATCCGTGAAAGATTGTTTTTCTAAAGTTGTTGTTGTAGAATCATCAAATGAACCGGTGAAGTCGTTCAATGAGACTTGGGATGAGCCGCTGTGTTCAAGTGACTGTTTTGTTTACCGGACTCGGTGACCACCTCCAGATCCAGTCCCTCCGGTTGATCCTCAAACTTCTCCAGCTCTGACAGAGTGGGCTTCACTCCATCCATGATCTGTCAGGAAATAAAAACAGAACCAGCTGCCCAGAAGTCCACACAGACGAGTTACATCAACGACAGGGAGTGTACAAACAGTTCCTCACCACCGCTGACATGGCAAAGCTTTTAAACAGGAATCCTTTGCGGCTGTAACGGTTCCCCTCAAAGATCATGAAGTCTCCATCATGGCTGACCTCCCCGCCCAGAGACCTGTCACACGATCAGAAGACTTGTTCATGACCTCACCCCACTATAAGACCTGTCACAATCAGCAGAAACCTGAGTGTACCTGATCTTTTCAGCATCAAACAGCCTCTGTGGAGGTCTCTTGAACTTCTTCCTTTTAGCGAACCAATCTTTCTGCAAACCAAGAGGTCAGAGGTCAGAGGTCAGCTGTCGGTCATGCATTTCCTGTAGATGTAAACAAGCAGTGCACCGGTGTCCCCCGTCGCTGAGGAACTTGAACAGAGTTTGTATCGAGATGAGTTTTTCTGGACTGGAATAGAACAGGGGATGAAAGTAAACCTTAGGCCTGTCACGATAATATTGTTTGAAATTTGACAATAATTAGTAATTATTGTCAAATTTAAGAAGAAATGTTGGTTAATTTGTTTTAAGTGTAGTATCTTTTTTGACCACCGGATGGCAGTATAAGATTGTTTGAACCGAAGGATGGATAGTGAGGGAGCGAGCAGCGTCTCTTTAAGAAAAATGGGAGGGAGGCCCCTTGACGCGATATGGGCTGTTTATCGGTTTTTCCGGTTCTCAAAATGGCGGACGCTCGGTGTGGTTCGAGCTCTTTAGCATTTTTCACACAAAACTTTTAATAAAAAAATCAGTAAACAAGTTCTCAGCTTCTTTTTGCAGAGAAAAACAACTTTTTACACAAAGGCACGAGTTTCAACTGTGAATATTGGAACTTCGACAAGACAGAAGTTTTTTTCCCCAAGGTCAGCCTGTTAGCTTAGCTCGTAGCTTAGCTTCTCAGCTTAGCTGCTTAACGAGCCCAAAACATGATTTTGGACGGTTAAAACGGATTTTAAAGAAAAGAGAAAAAAGAGAAAGGGTCAGTGAAGAGCACCGGAGTTGAGCCTTTTGTCACCCAGTGTCTTCAGTAGAAAGAGAGACGAAGAAACGATAAAGCCGATAAATGAAAATGAGGTCGATAATTTTCATTTGTCATGCGATTAATTGATTTATTGTGACAGGCCTAGTAAACCTTAATGTTTTTAGTGCAAGTCAATCAAGTGGGGCGGAGTTTCACTGTGGAGAAGAACAGAGGGAGGTTTTATTCTTGTCCGAGGTGGAGCAGAGTGACGGATCCTGGCGAGTGGAGGGAGCAATTTTATCTGCCACCGGTACAAAGGTGGAGCTAGGAGGTGGCTAATGGTGGCACTGGTCACCATAAATTCATCTTCGGCCACCCCAAGCATTTGAGGAAACTATACTTTTAAGGTATACTAGAAAGCATAATTGCCTCAATGAATGGAGTGGCTGGCTTACATATGAATACCGTATTTTCCACTGTACGCATCGCACCGCCCTATAAGTCGCATCAGTCCATATTTATCTAATAAAGTGGAAAAATCCATAAATATGTTGCTTCATTCATTCATTCAACCTTTATTTAAATAGATAAATCACACTGAGCCTCGAAGACTCATTTACAAGCGAGACCGGTTTGGACAGACAAAAAACAGTGGTTAACTGGACACATGTAGGAGTTGGAGGCGAAAAAAATTCCTATCAGACTTTTTTCTTGGCTGAGAAAAACCCCTAATATTGAAAAAACACCTCTCACAAACAAGCACATATTTACGTAGACATTCTGCAAAAGAGCAGAGCAGGAAGAAGGAAGAGATGAGACCAGTCAACGACGCTTACAGATGCTCTCGAGGTCACTGTAATCAGTCAATGTCCTCCGGTGAGATCCATAAACATTCTCGAGGTATGTCGAGAAATGGTCAAGGATAACCTCTATAGGAATCCAGAGTCCTGAAATGATGACAGTTTTTTCAGCTGGTTATCAGTTGGAAATTCCTCAGGGAGGGGGTGGTGAGCGTCAGATCACATTTTCTCCAGGCAACTTTAGATAAGGTGGCCTTCAAGGACACCAAGGCGACCAAAATTTAGATAAACACAGTTGTTTTGGGGACAGGCAGAACTTAATGACATCAACCTTGAGTCTGTGTTGGTCCACTCGGTTCCGAAATGTCCAAATTAACATGGCCACACCGATGGAAACGTGTCTGAGCAAAAATCCCCAAGATCTGATCCATTCAGCCCAAAGCATTTGAGTCCGGGTACTCCAGACATGAACCAAGCCATCATAAAGGCAAGCAGCGTGATCGGGTCCAAATTTGCTGCTGACGACTTCCTTGATTGTAGATAAAAACCAGGACCAGCTGAATCCAAAAAGCAGGAACCAGTTATCATGAATCTAATTAAATATGCGTCCTTAACATCCACAGATGGCAGCAGAGATGGACACATCTTCAAGTTTTCCAGTCGATGAGATATCCAGCTGCGTACGTGCCAACAGGGTAAATCAGCTCGCCCAAAGCCTGTCTTCTCTTGAAGAAATGTTGTGAATTGAGATGAGGGACCAACTGGTCAAAACAAGTCCATAATTATGCTTCGCCCTATACTTCGCATCCATTATGCCATCACCACTGACGCGCTGAGTTTGTTACGCGCCACCGCTGACAGCCCGGAAATGTGGACCGGTGTTGTGCCAAAAACTGATGGGTCACCAAATGGCGGCCGCAGGAGCATGCACGGGAGGACTTTAACAAGATTTTAACAAGATTAACACTTAAAAACAATTATTTGTTTGCTCGAAATTATATTAAAGTGTGTATCAATCTAACATTTGCTTAATAAATGTACTTTAATGGTCAAATCAGCTGCATTTCGCCAGGGCAGTGCAGCTGGATTGATGGTCGGTCCAAACAGCAAGCAGAAACAAGGTGGGGAGGCTAAGGCAGGCCAATTGAGTCATTAAAAGCTGGTGAAGACTCTCAGTCATCCAGGACATGGTAAATTCAAAAACGTTCAAGAAAAACAAACAATAAAGTATAAAGTAAAGTATAATAAATAAAGTCCAGTTGATTTTGTCTTGAACTTTTTTGAATTTGTCATTATAGCCACGTTTACCCATTACATGATACAACAGCATGCCACAAAACTATTACTCCTCTGCTGCCATCAAGTGGCTGAAAGTGGTACTGCTCAATTTTTTTGTTCAGTCAGAATGAATGAAAACGGTCATATCTCAGCCAAAAAACGTTTTATAAATTAGGAAAAACATCCATAAATATGTTGCTTCGGCCTATAAGTCGCAGGGCATGTAAATTATGCAAAAAACTGCAACTTATACAAAGAAAACTACGGCATATATGTTGGAAGCCATTCTTGGATTTTGACATGGCAACCCAATTTCCAATAGTGACACACACCAAAATGGAAGTTATCTCACTTGTTTTTCCAGTTATCCTGCTCACAACACAGACAGTGTTTCTAATTCTGTTGTTCAATGAGACAGGGGACAACAATAACAGGGGGTTGTCCTACCAGACTCATCTTGGCCTTGATGCGGTCCAGGTCTATCCGAGGAATCATCTTCAGAGAGATGGTGTTCTGACTCGGTTCCACATAGTCCACCTGATAAGTAAACAACAACACAAGTATATAAAGGGTTGATTAGCCCAACTGAGATAGACCCTGAGGTAAAAGTATATAAAAGCTCTAATAAACAATAAATCATCTCCACTTTGGTCTAAAAGCACCCTGTACATTGTTCTTCCTGTTCTCCAGAACCTTCATGGGTTCACTCCAAGCTGTTGGATCAGTACCTGAGCAATGTCGTCCTTATACAGGCCTCTCTTCAGCCGGACCCAAGACTTTGGCTTTAGGTTGGTCACCTCTTTGACCACCTTCAGGACGTCCGTCATCTCCTTGATGGGAACCATCTGCTGGTTCCAGAAGCCCATCCTCAGGTTTCCGATGCCCTCGATGGCGGCCTTGACGTGGGTCTGCTTGTAGGACTCCACGTAGATGTAGCCTTTCACGTGGTCGGGCGCCACCACAGCCTTGATCTGGAGCGGCTGCAAGAAGAACAGACATTTAAAACCAGAATATTTGAGACTGGACTGCAACTGTTAGAGACTAGTTAACCCACAGCATGACTGGGCAGTGACTGTTGGGAAACTAGTTAGCACATTATGTAACTGGGCAGTGACTGATGGGAGACTAGTTAGCCCATTATTTGACTGGATTGTTGGGAGACTAGTTAGCCCATTTTGTGACTGTCCTGTGACTGTTGGAGACTAGTTAACCCACTAAGCGACTGGAATGTTGGGATACTAGTTAGCCCATTGTGCGGCTGGACTGTGACTGTTGGAGACTAGTTAGCTCAATATGTGACTGGATTGCTGGGAGACTAGTTAAACTATTGTGTGGCTTGACTGACTGTTGGAGACTAGTTAACCCACTGACTGGAATGTTGGGAGACTAGTTAGCCCATTATGTGACTTGACTGGAATGTTGGGAGATTAGTTAGCCCATTGTGTGACTGTTGGGAGACTAGTTAGACCATTATGTGACTGTCCTGTGACTGTTGGAGACTAGTTAACCCACCA